GAAGAAATCTTTAGGAAATGGACGTAGGAGCAAACGGGAAGGCACTAAAAGCTTGCCCAATGTTTTACACTAACCATGCGGCGATCTCCAGGAAGCTGCCAGTGGATTAATGAAGGAAAATTTGCGAATGCTTTGGGAGGAATAAGTTCAGACCTTCCTAACAAGGAAGGTCTTTCAGGGTGTGCCAAGCTTTTTCAAAACGGTCTTTTGCATGATATAGGGGCACATGCGGGAACCACAGAACCATGGTTAATTTTTCCTGAACGGCCCTCTGAATACCAGAAAAGGGGGTCCCTAGTCACACCTTTTTCACCAGTTTTTCAATCAAAGTCTATTTGTAAGGGTTACTGACGTTCCACGAGGAATCGAACTAGGGACCCTTTTCTGGTATTCAGAGGGCCGTTCAGGAAAAATGAACCATGGTTCTGTGGTCCCCATATGTGCCCCAATGTCATGCAAAAACCGTTTTGAAAAAGCTTGGCACACCCTGAACGACCTCCCTTGTTAGTTACGCGTGCCATGCGTCAAGTAGTTCTTTTGTGGCGTCACTCTGCAGCCATGGTTAAGCGCTTGTACATATTATTCGCATTTTTCACTTGTTTTGGGTACTCAAATGATCTGCGCTAGCAAATTACTGACGACCTTCTAGTCAGGTGATCTTCTCACCTTTATCCCAAGTGAACTAGTCTAAAATTCTCTTGATAGATCTAACGATTGCACTTCTTTGGGAGACACGTTAACGACAGCCCACGTTTTGGCCTTTTTCACCTCGTGGGGCATGAACTGTTCGGCGGCCGCGTCCAGCTGTCTCACGAGGTGCGTTTTTGGAATTAGAAACTCGAACAATCGCTAACATTTTGGTGGTTTATAAGTACAAACAAATATAAGGTCATACCCAACGGCAAAACCCCAGCGCGAACAGGTACTTATTAATATTGATAAATTGGTTGAAATTGTAGAGAATGTTGAGGATTCCTCGTTCTTCCGGAGCCCAGGCAATGCTGAAGATAATCAAGAAATAGAAGAACTAAGTGAAACTGACGCATTGATTTATTTAGCGCACATAAGTTATCGTCATAGGAGAGAAAAGAACCCGATAGCAGAGGAGTTTCGAAATGGGCAATGCTTCATCCGCGTGTCTGCATAAGCTGCCCGAAATTTGATTTCAAGACGATATCCGAAACGAAGTAATGATATCGGGTTTTTTTTTGACTTTGTACTGGTGATTTATGATTATGATCGCTAGCATCCCCGTTTCCTCAGGTCCGCCAAAAATTAGCGCAGAAAATTATCTGTCATTGCAAAATTCCACACTTTATAGAGCCGTGTCTTGCTCCAGAAGGAATCTTTTTCAAAGGTGATTGGGCTCTGTAAAATTAGGATACGCCTTTCACAAGAATTCATTGAAACTGGTTTGCTGAAGTGAAATGTTCGGAGGCACTAGGCTCATTTGCGGAAACCTGGCCATGTAACGCGGATGGTTTCCTTTTTGTTCTACACTCTCAACGACCATAACCTTTTTCAAGGATTACCTTTTGTTGACTGATGAACGCATTCAGAATCTATGTGAGTTTCGTGTTCTAAGGGAGCAAGACTATTTGACAGTATTCTTACTTGGGGGAAAACGTCATAAAGAAAGCACAAAGTTGGTTTTTTGTCTTGGGTGGTGGATATCTTCATAGGACAGAAAGCTTCGTTCCAATAACCTTTGAATGTCTCTAAAATTTTGCCAACTACAAAGGTTTTGCTTTAAACTTCATACACTTCTTTTTAAATCTCTATTTCTTGAATAAAAAGTGGAAGAATATGAAGAAAGTGGAAATTATGTTAGGTCCAGAAAATCTTCGCTAAACTAAAGCATATCTAACCATTACACGGACCACAGTTTAAAGGTACGCGATACCGCGTCACCATGTCCCACGAGGTGTGCAAAGTAGGACGTGTTACCGCGTCACGCTGTCGTCAACGTGTTAACCCTTTGACGACAATGGCACCCAATGGTGGGTGCCACCTTAAAATTTCCTTCTTTGTGCATTTAAAACATTTGTAACACCCCAATAATTATAAGCAAGTTCCATAATATCTATGGCTAGCACGACTTACAGAAATGTTTACTAAGAGCTAATTTATATAGAATTTTAGAATGTGCCATTTAGCTCGCCAGCATATTAATTGGGGTTTTAAATTATTAGGCCGAAGATTAATTACTAATCAGGACTTCTTCGTCTTCTCATAGCCCTCAGATATGGGAAGGGTTTGAAGTGTACCGGAAATTCTCTTGGACACTTAACTTTTAAGGTTTTGCCCTCCTTCCCTTTGAAACGCGAGTTCCCCTTCCAAATTTGGAATTCTCTTGAAAATAATTACAGTATGAAAGCCTAGAACTGCAGTTATAACTGGTATACTGTTAAGTCAAAAATTCTACAGAAAAATTGCTTTGAAGGACAATTTTGCCCTAATTTTGAGCGAGAGTTGGGCGCGCCAAAAACAGGCGTGGTCCCACGAGCAAGCTACGTGCAAATCCGCATTGTCGTCAAAGGGTTAAAGAATTGTTGCGGATCGTAGAGTGACATTCGACATCATTAGATCTAAAGAAATGCTTTGCGCTAAACGATATTGGCATAACAAGCATGGAGTGGCAGCTGCACTTTGATTTACTATAGGCTTTGGAAGAGAGTAATTTCTGATTCAATCACAACTTAGCTTGCATTCATGGACGACGCACCGTATATGATCAACACTCAGGCTTCCCTAGATGACCTCAATGAGAAATTGGACAGCAAGGTTTGGCACATACTTTCCATTATTTTTGTAGTTTTAGCTCTGTATGTAGCCACTGTCATGTTTCGAATCGCTTCTTGATTTAGCTATGTGAAGGAGATTTCTTGGTTCAGGTAACGATAGAGCAATTTCGGCCTGTTATTGTGGTGGACAAATGTGAAGCCTTCGACGAAGATAGATGGCATTCTATTCAAATAGGAGATGTGGCGCTGCAATGCACAAAACCATGTGAACGGTGAGCACATTTGGTTCCTCTCAACTCTTCCGAGAAGGCGACTGTGAAATTGTGTTATCGAAAAGAAGACGTGCTCACCTGAATCGTATTCCAACTCAGACCTGAACATCTTGAACATATGACATTGCAGCATTCTTGACTCACTGCTTCATTTACCGAAAAGGCACAATTTTAAAGGACTGTAGAGTGATATGACGGCTAATTAGTCCATTCTTCTCCTCGTAACCCGCTCTTTTTATTCAAAGTGCTTGGGCAAAAGCTAAGATCAACAAAGGCATTGCGTGTCCGAATTACACGTTGGACCTCAGTTTCTTGAGCCAGAATTCTAGCCTGTTGTCGAATGATATAGGGCTAGTGGGCTCACAGAACAAGTCCCGTGTGTTGCTAATTTCAGCGAAGGTGTCGTTTTTGTGATATTGAATGAGGTGTAGTATTCAGATTTTCGGAGGGAGGTCACAGCAATGGAAGAAATATGTATACTCAACGAACGGTTATGCTGTGTTTGGAGGGTAGTGGGGGCAAATTCAGCTTATGAAAATGCGAAATTGGTCAGAAATAGCTGCTAATGGACCTCAAAAGCAATTTTGGCCTTGATTATTTCAATCACACATATTGTCATCCTAAGGTTCCGTATCTACTTCTACTACTATTTAAATCTTCACATTCATAAAAAGAAAAAGTAAACGAAAAATTTATTAAACTGAAGATTTCGTATGGTTCAGAAATCCTCCTCTAAATTAAGCATACGTGACCATTCTATGGGCCACTATGTTTGTAGCTACGTCAAGGTTTCCATGGAATAAATACAAGAAAACTTCTAAAATAATCAGGCGTGCACGGAAAAGAAATGAGTGTAATTGGTGCGGGAGATATACAGTAGCGGTCAAAAGTCTTCGCCGAAATTGTTTTTCGACTGTAACTTTTTTTCCGCTGAATCAAATCAATTCAAATTTTAATATGTTTTAGAGATAGTCCTACTTCACTTAAACGGCATATTTGTTTCGGATTGAGAAAGAATTAAGAATGGAAAAAATCATTTCACTAGAAATTCTCGCGTATGAGCAAATTCCAAGTAGGTTTCAAATTACTCTAGCAAGCTTACAATTCAACAAAACAATCTTACGCATGATGAATAACACTGGGCAGGTCCAATACTTTGTTAATGATCTTCTGGGTTCGCTGAAATACTAACAAGGCCTAAGTAAGGAATCAGTCATTGAATGCACTGTCTACTAGGGCAGCTTCCTCCACTTCTCTTGAAATTTGACGAGTTTCTCGCCCATATTCCCGGCTCTTATTTCCACCAAAGGTATCCCTACTCTTTCCCATAATGTTTCGATGGCGCTCGGGACATTGGTGTGAATTGTTCCCTTCGTTGAAAGCGCGCCATGCTGTCGAAACCAATCCTTCACAGTGAAGGTGCGATGCTTTTGGTCGCTCTATAGCTAGAAGGCGAACTCAGTCACGTACAGTTTCATACGAGCGGATACGAAACTCCTTCTAGAATCTATCTGATACGTCGGGCATTCACCACTTCTCTAATCCTGTGCAGTTGTAAAACTTCTTTTACGGACTACCACACGCGAGCCTCCGCCAAGTTTTACATACGGCAGTTAATTCCTTGGATCGAAACGTTTTTCCTCAGGACCGCACACATTCCTATTTCAGTCGCCGGCAAACATCTTGAATTACTCTCGTTGGTCCGCAGGACGTTGTAGCCCTATGGGGATCCCCACTTTAGGTGTGCGTAAGCACATTTCCCCCGACCAGTTCACCGCCGACTAACTTCGCAGTATTCGCAATCATGTGAAGGCAGCCTATACAGTTGGGTTCTAGAAGGAGCTCTTATCCACGTGTATGACAGCTGCCCGCGACTGAGCTCGCCTTCTAGCATTAGTGCGACCAAAAGCATCACACCTTCACTGTGAAGGAGTGGCTTCGCCAGCATGGCGCGCTTTCAACGAAAGGAACAATTCACACCAATGTCCTGAGCGCCATCGAAACATTATGGGAAAGAGTAGGGATACCTTTGGTGGAAATAAGAGCCGGAAATATGGGCGAGAAACTCGTCAAATTTCAAGAGAAGTGGAGGAAGCTGCCCTAGTAGACAGTGCATTCAATGACTGATTCCTTACTTAGGCCTTGTTAGTATTTCAGCGAACCCAGAAGATCATTAACAAAGTATTGGACCTGCCCAGTGTTATTCATCATGCGTAAGATTGTTTTGTTGAATTGTAAGCTTGCTAGAGTAATTTGAAACGCGAGAATTTCTAGTGAAATGATTTTTTCCATTCTTAATTCTTTCTCAATCCGAAACAAATATGCCGTTTAAGTGAAGTAGGACTATCTCTAAAACATATTAAAATTTGAATTGATTTGATTCAGCGGAAAAAAAGTTACAGTCGAAAAACAATTTCGGCGAAGACTTTTGACCGCTACTGTATATCTGCCAACGGCACGATTGCGGCTGGCGCGGTATATATGTCAAGGCAACAACGTCACGCAGACCAGGTATTCTTGCAACAATGCTGGTACTTATAAAAGCTACTTGAAGGTAAGCCTCGGGACAAAACTGGTGTACAAGAGTGCTTTATAGTGATGGCCTGGCAGCTGAGTGAACAGAAAGTTTAAAAGAAAGCGAGAGAAATCGTCGAAATGCTCAAAATAAGGACCTTGATTTCAATAAGGCTGGATTTGGTGGGCGAAGGAGTAAAAGGCCATCAAGACACGAAATACGCGAAAGATAGAGCACGCTGGTCTAGACATCAATCGCGGTGGGTGGGGAGCGCTGTAACGGGCGTCGATGGTTGCAGCTCCGTAAGGATTAGCCTGATTAGGATTAATATAATCGCGCAATTGGTGAGCAGAAGCTGACATGATCTGCGTAGGTACGTACCCAACACAACATGTTCACTGGCGGCGTATTTTGTACCAAGCGAGCCTAAGGCCTGGGCTTTCCTTCAAGGAAAGGGCAACACTCCCTTGGCCTAGATGTTGTGAACGAGTCTGAGGTCTTGGTCGCAATGCGGTGAAAACCTCCGGTACGTTCTTGCCATCAGAACATGTGTTAATCAGAAATGAGAGAGTTGAGGGAATAATTAGAGTTGAAAACAATCGTCACTTAGGAATTACAAAACAGCTAAGTAAGC